GATTAGCGACAGGCAGTAGGAACGGTACCAGGGTGCCAGGAATTTGTCCGGGCCTCAGGTTGGTACAATACACATGTTTGAGGTAAGCACTTCCAGTGTTATAATTGATGGCAATATCGGGCGCCACATTGGACATTCCTTCAAAGGGATCGCGTCCAAGATATGCGATAACCCGGCTCAGGGTTTCCTTGTCCATGTTGTGCTGGAACTCAAAAGGTGTCAGTCGATAGAGGTTCACATTGCTGTTGAGCCACTTTGCGATGATTTGGATCCTGGAAGCCGTGCGTCATTTTTGAACATGGGTCAGTTAATTGTCAGGAACAAACATTTCTTGGGCTTCTGCAGCACGCCCAAGGCGTCGGTACAGCCTTGCAAGGGTGGAGGAGCCCAGGACGAAGTTTCGGGGCCCAGTTCTCTTGTTAATAATTATGCCTTGGGTAAGGATCCTTATGGTTTCCATATCATACGACACGTCTCTACCGTCCGCCTCCCTGGCAGCGCATAAATAAATCCAGAAAATCCTTCGCGTATGGTGCAAACTTCAGCGACATGGAATGCTCGCCCACCGGGGAAACTCACGGATCGTAATCCAGTGTCTGCGTGGGGTTCAAGTATTGATGCATCTCGCGGCAACATTCCAGCGCCTTCAGTGCTTCCTTAAGATGCAGCGGATACGTGAACCGAATGATGGTAGCAATGCGCCAGGCTGGTGAAAAGGGGTCAGGGATGTGTGAGCTCATTTCAGATGGGGAAAGGCGAACTGATGTCACCCAGAGTAGTCCTCCGAGCATAGTCATGCCTGTCCCTGCCTTGTAGGGCGCTGCCGTCCCGGAGATGGCCACTCCGGAAAGGTGTATCTTCAAATACGCCCACTTCCTCCCATCGAACGGGGTCACTCGTGTTCAGCGCATCGACCATATTGTAGAGGTCCTGAATGAGTTCACGTTTCTCGTCTACAGACACTATCGTGCGAGGAGAATAGCATGAACGTGGCTAAAAGCACGGATGTAATCATGAAAAGACGGTCTTACGAGATGTGTCGTCCTTCAACCAGAGTTGATTTCGACGAAAGCCTTCAAAAGGAGAGAGAAATTCAACGATTGAAGTACTAGGGCCAGTGGCCACACAACCCACACACCCTTTTTAACGGGAGCAACTCTGCGGTCTGCCATTGAATCAGAAAAAGCCTCTGTCCTAGATTCCTGAGGGGAGTAGCCACTGTCCAAGAATTCGCACCACAATTACTAGTTCGGTCTGCCTCATGTTAGCAGCGGGACCGTGAAGTTTGGGCGATTTGAAACCCCGCTTCAACGACGGACTGTAGTGCCGGCGTTCCATTAAATCTTTCGGAAGTGCTCATCATTTGCTTACCGTTGATGACTTGTGAACGTAGAAGTTCTGGCTTTGTTTTGGACCAAGCAACATTTTTAGAGGAAATATGTGCCAAGATCACAATTGAAACACACCCACTGAACACCCTCAAGATCCAGGTAGTCTAGTTATACAAAGCACAGTTTGTCGGACAAGACAAACACATAAGACCGCTTTGTACCTCGCTTGTTGCGTGAATGGAGAAGCCAACGCCAACCGTGCGCGTGAATCTTGAGATCTTTCAGATGACGACATGTCTGATGGGATGCCATAAGCATCACTGCACGGATCCTTCGACGATCAATAGTGTACACCTCTTGGACTGCTATAGCTCACACTATCTAACGATGTGTGCATTTCCATCTTGGTTTTCCTGGGCACTCCTTTCCTACAAACAAATGTATGTTGTACCTTGCTGTTCATGTGAAAAATTTACTTTACATAACTTTGCCCTCAAGGATCCAACCCGCCTCCAACCGGCACGGTCACGGAGCGACTGTGACACCAACTTGAAGTCGGACAACATTCCCCACATCTCCCTCACATGACGCTGAACAATACTAGGCCTTAATACGTGATGCTGATTGCGACCAACGCGACCTGAACCTGCCACGCCCTCCGCCCTCGGCATGTACCCGAAAATGCCCTCAATGGAACTCATCCGCCGCCCCTGCAAAACTCTTCGCTGACTGGCCAAGACATACCCAATGAGAATGATGCAGTGTGTTGTCTTCTCTGTTCATTTACGTCGCTTTGCTGAAGAGAACGCGAACAACGTCCGATGCGTGAGCAAACAGGTGTGTGCCTCAAATCCGTTTTCCTTTCGTGCGTTTGCCGAAGCACTTCTCTCATTTTAAGTGGGAAAACAACTCAATGCTGGGCCCCTGGGTCAACAAACACGTCGACAACGAGAGGACAGTTCCTTCAGGTATGTGCCACCTGTGTAGCTACCGTGTTATGAATCTGACACCAGTATAAATATCTCTACAGCTGAACACCACCATCCGCTCTTTTCAGTTGCGTGACGCCTATATCGCGAGCCTCCCAAACGTCACGATCTCGGACGCATGGACAAGTACAACTTCCTCGCCTTCAGGAGCCTCCCGCACCCCTTCGCGACCTCTTCGTTGATACGACTGCCCAAGCCAAAAGTTTTCGAAACAATCTTTGGAAGTATAATCTTTCTTTTGCTTTTACTTCCTTGGGCGTCAAAGAGGACTTCTTCAATCGCGACCATGGCGCACCCTTTTTCGCATCATTAGAGAGCTCTGTCACCACCCTGGCTTGCTCACCCCTGTTGCTGACCGTCCATCAATATATTCTCAGCTTTATATTTACGAACCATGCTGCGCTAATGTATGTAGGAGTGGGGTCCGGTTGTGAGTTGCCGTGTGGTGTTTTATGTGTATGACTGGACTCACTCAATACTGCTAGATTCGCCGACCAAAGGAAAGGAACATTAATGTTCGGTTATAATAGCCCATTCAAGCGCCGCAGAGTCGACTCTGGGCCTTCGACATCTTCTCTCCCCAAGGCCGCTGCCTAATTCAAGGACAATCACATACTTTATTACTCTTTGTACAGTAGACTACGCAATGATTTCTTCACGGGTAACTGCTAGTGATGTTACAAACATTCTACTCTTCGAGCTTCAGAGCTTCATGCCTCAGGCATTAATCGTAAGTAACCTCGTTGCCATACGATTCACGTGGGTTTCCGCGAGGACAAATTGAAGATTAGTTTCACTGCTTGTACTATTCAATCCATTGCTTTGGACAATATCATCACTACTTACGGCATTAGACTCGCCTCAATCCAGATCCTTGTACAAGGCCTTTTGAGTCTTATACATATCGCAGAGCGCCTTGTGGCGTGGCCATGCTTTTTTCTGGTGCTCTCTACAAGAATGGGCACGATAAAGTTCAGTGTAAAGTAGGAATATCGCCATACACTACCCCTGGATTCGGAAGACTTACTTGCAACAATATCGGCTCATTTGGCAGGACGAGCATCTTCTCAAATCTTCTCTGACGCGACAGCCACTAAGCCAGCATTCTGGCGTCAGAGAACGTTTGTCCGTCTCAAACGGGGCGTCTGGCAATTGCGGCGGCGGCTGGACCATCGACGCTTTTCAGCCATCTTTGCAATCCGAGACAGGGGTAGAGAACTCACTGGGGGGCGGCGGCGTGGCCCAAACCTCGCACTAGTGCAATACATATACTCCACGTATTTATTGCCAGTATTGTGAATGATGCCTACATCGGGCGCTGCGTAGGACATTCCTTCATAGGGATCACGTCCAAGATATGCAATTACCCGGCTCGATGTTTCCCTGTCCGTGTTCTGCTGATACTCATACGGCGTTAGCTGATACACATTCTCGATGTTATCGAGCCATCTTGCGATGAATTGGACCCTGGCAGCCCATGTATCAATCTCGCTAGTAGACAGGGCAGATAACTGACGAGCACGGACATTTCTTGATCTTCTGAAGCACGCCCAAGGCGCCGGTACAGCCTTGCAAGCGTGGAGCAGCCCAAAATGAAGTTTCGAGGGCCAGTCTTCTTGTTGAAGATTACGCCTTGAGTGAGTATGCCCACGGTTTCCATGTCATACGCCAAATCTCGGCTGCCTCCTTCCCTAGCAGCACAGAGATATATCCAGAAGAGTCTTCGTGCAAGGCAAGATCTTCAGCATCGAAAAAAGCTCGCCCATGGGGGAGAACTCACGGGTCGTAGTCCATTGTCTGCATCGGGTTCAAGAATTTATGCATCTCGCCGCAACATTCGAGCGCCTTCAGTGCGTCCCCAAGGCGCAGCGGATATGTGTGCCGGATGATTTGTGCGATACGCCAGGCTGGTGAAACGAAGATCAGGATGCGTCTACTTTCTCTGATGGAAACAAGCTTACTGATATTATTCAGAGTGGCCCTCCGAGCGTAGTCATGCCTCTCTCGGCCCTCCAAGAAGCTACCGTCCCGTCGGTTGCCTCTTATGATGGGGGTGTCTACAAATACACCCACTTCCTCCCATCGAACAGGGTTGTCATCTGTGTTCAGCGCATCGACCATAATGTAGAGGTCCCGAACGAGTTCACTCTTCTCATCTCCAGTCACTATCCCGGGAGGAGAACAGCATGAGCGTAGCTGGAGCCCAAAAGGTAATCATCAAAAGCGCCTACTGTCGATGTCGTCCTTCAACCAGAGCTGATTTCGGCGGAAGCCTTGAAAAGGAGAGAGTTCAACCAAGTGACGGTGAGATGTCAGCGGACACACAACGCACACCTTTTTCGACAGGAATTACTTTGCGGTCTGACATCGTTTCAACAAAAACCTCTGTCCTAGATTCCACAGGGCAGTATCCGCGGGCCAAGCATTCGCACCACAAGCCTGCCTCATGGTAGGACGAATTGGCGATTTGGGAGTTATTTAAAACCCCGCTTCAACGATGGACGTAAACACCGGCGCCGCTACCCAACCGCTACTTGCATTTACAGCGTGTTACTCCTGATGCTATCGTTGACTGAGGAGTTTCTCTTCGGCCTTTTTGAACTAGGCACGGTATATGCATTCTTTCAGAGGAAAGAGGGGTCTCCGAAGCCCAAGACGATTTATTCCGTACAACCCACAGGCATTAATGGGGTAGTGGTAACCTGGGTCGTTGCCATATCGGATTCGACCCGCCGGGAGTTCGATTCTCTCTTAATGCATCTAATTTTTTCTTCTCCAACCCAGGACAATATCCATCGCATAATGGTACTAATCGCATATCCGGATTACACGACACTACTTGTTCAACTCTGCAGTACGAACACGAAGCTCGTCCTTGCTCTGGAAAGTAGGGAATGCGATGAGCGGCTGACCGTCCGAAGGGGGAGATGCACACACCAAAGGCTGCTCAAGGTTTTTCTCCATCTCTCTAGTAGGAATGAATGGACCGTGGGCGTGATACGGGTCCATAGGGTTACTTGTTTGCAATCCTCCACCAGGCTGCCTGTTTCGTTGTAAATCTTGGGGATCGTTTGTCGTCTGTAAAACATTTTGTCTCAATGTGAGCAACTTTAGCGGCGACACACAGCCGTGAAACTCACGGCGGGATGAGGTTGGATAGAGAATGTGCCCTCTGATTGTGAGTTGCTCTGACCTGTGATCGGCTGGTCTTTCGTGTTGGCGGGTGAGGAGGACATGAAGCGAAAGTGTCTAAATCTCAGTGTGAAAATTTTCGAGGATAGTGCAGACTCAAGTGGAAGCTGCTCTTTATAACTGATTCGTCCGCAGTCTTACCTTGGAATGACGCGCTGCGGGTGGGTATGCAATGACGTCACTATCTTATCAAGCCCGTGCCGAGCGGTCGGCGGTGAATATTACATCTTCAGTATCCGCAGTGCTGGGCCTGTCTAGATGGGAAAACGAGAGAGATCCAATGCAATTGAGGCGATATTACAAGGTAACTCGAAGTAAGGTCCGTCCGTTGTGTCAGTATGATTGAGAAATACCAGGGTTCTTTAATCTTTCACTTGGTCGCGCTATCTAGGAGCCCATCATCTGTGAATGGTGTGAGTTACGAGTTTGAGCGTCAGCGCTGAGTAGTATTCACGTGCTTGAATTCTAAGCGATGCGCTGCGTCAAAACGAGGACAGGACGGAGCAATGAATGAAGCGCTTACCGGGCAAGCTGATAACGCCATCCCCATTTAAATCAGCCTCGCGCATCATCTGTTCCAATTCACTATTCGTCAAGTTCATATCTGTATCGCAGGTGCAAGTGTGAGTAGCCGTCTACTAGTGAAGAGAAGGAAGATACCTACTGAGGCTTTGCATGACAAGTTTTAGCTCGGCTGTGCTGATCGTCCCGTTATTATCCCTATCGAAGACTTTGAACGCGGCCTCGATCTCCTCGTCTTCGTCGATGCCTGACACTTTGCTCGCCATCAACGCCATGAATTCATCAAAGTCGATCTTCTCATTGTGGTCGACATCAACCTCGCGAATCATGTCGCAGAGCTCTTCGTCTGTCGGTGTCTGTCCCAGTTTGCGCATGATGGTCCCAAGTTCATCGTGCGTGATGGTCCCATCCCCGTCTGCAATGTGTGATTTTTAGAAGAGAATAAAATACTATAACACCCCATGCTGTCCCACCTTTGTCGAAGAGCTCAAATGCCTCCTTGAATTCTAAGAAGAGAGATTGAATACCTCCGTGTATGTGGCTCCAGACATATGCGTACCGCGAATCTGTTCTGCAGGTGTGGCGTTCAAATTTCAGGAAGGATGATTTCTCCTGATCGCAGGAGATGAAAGAACGAACCTGGCGTCTGCAGAAAGATCATCACATCAGCATCGTCCCAGCATAGCAATAATAGAAATTAGTACCAGTTCAACTTTGTCGGTCATGGCAGGGATCCAGTGAGTTGTGGATGTGAACGGGGGTCGATGGCTGGTCACTTGTAGAGCGTCCTTGAGGTCTAGGGTACCTATATAGTCACGTCCTATTTATACCGCTCAGGAACTTTGATGAAGCCCTTGTCCTCTAATTGTAGAGAAATGACGTTCTGCACAACGAGGTAGCAGTTGACTCATGGCGTCGAGGCATATAGCGGGCTGTGTGCGTGTGGTCCTGGATGCACTGCAAAGAACTTGTCGGTGTGGCTGTGCAATATCCGTCGCTTAGATTCACTTGTGATGATATCATTTCCATCCACGTCGTGTAGAACACGAAAATTTTCGCCTGATTGGCAATGTCAACCAAGCTTACAGAATGGATTTGGTAAAGGTATGCATTCAGGCGAGTCGTAAACATGCATGATATACTTAAGATAGAGCTACACAAGACCCGCCGATGAATGCTTGTGAGATGCTTTCGATACGGCAGGCTTCCCATCCCAGACCTCGGACGCCCTCATTAGTTATAGAAGATCATCACAAAGTTGATTACTTGGACAGCATCATCTGTAAATCCATGATCGTCAGCATCTTCCCAACCGGCTGTGAATAAAACAAGAGAACGTACCTTAACGAACTCTATAGATGTAGAAGAGCAGGCGATGCAACGATCAATTCAATATTATATGAACTTGAAACGCATCACGTACCGTCGTAGTTAATCTGACCGTCACCGTCGACATCCGCCTCCCGGATCATCTCATCGACCTCGGTATCGGAGAGCTTCTCACCTAAGAAAGTATGGCGGAAGTGTCAGTATCATTCATCACCGCGCTCAAAAGCCCCAGCAGCGCCCATGCAGGGTCACAGGGCTGAGCCAGACGCACCGAGGTTGGTCATGACATGCCGCAGCTCAGCAGAGCTGATGTAGCCGTTCCCATCCTTATCGAAGACCTTGAAAGCCTCTTTGATCTCCTCCTCGCTGTCGGTATCGCGCATCTTGCGCGCCATCATCGTGAGGAACTCAGGGAAATCAATGGTGCCGTTGCCGTCTGCATCGACCTCGTTGATCATGTCCTGTAGCTCTGCCTCTGTGGGGTTCTGCCCGAGCGAGCGCATGACGGTGCCAAGCTCCTTGGTAGTGATCGTGCCATCGCCGTCTGGATAGTGACGGCATTAGCTACCCGCGGCCGCGATAAGATTAGCCGCCTCACCCTTGTCGAACAGGGAGAAGGCCTCCTTGAATTCTGCAAACAGATGGTCAAAATAGGAAGCCAGATGAGAAATATGAGGTCTCGCACCAGAAATTTGCTCTGTAGTTACGGGATATTAGTCTCATAGTGTTTCCCTCCATTGATGCAATCGTACCTTCAGACTGAGTTCAAAAACACAATTAATGAGCCTGGTCTGTCAAGAGGGGGATCTGCAGCTTACCAGTTGGTCGGCCATCGTAGTGTGTATAGAGGAGAGTGGTGGTCGTTGATGAGCCCAAGTTCCACAAAGATCAGGTTCAAGGGCGATCGCGGCGATCGCCGGCCGCTGTTGTCCCCACGTGCCACCCTGTATTCTTTTCGACTTTCGTTGTGTTGCCACTGGCACGCACTTGACTTTACGCGAACTCAAGGCTCTTTCGTGGGCTTCAATTTCAACGAAATTCTCACAGGAATTTCAAGGTTATAAGAATTAACGGGTGGCCCATGGATACGAAATCAGAGTGTTCAAATAGTTGTCAAGCCCCGAAGCCACCTGTTTCCAGCGAGTCAGGAAGAGGATGAGCCACAGCGGCGCCACATCCCTGCTGCGCAGCTGCCACCGCGTCTCCATCTACCTCAATGACAACCTCACCTCCTCCAACCACATCCTGGAAATCGATCCAACATAAGCTTCCCTGCCGTCCATTCACTGTAACACTCTTAACGAAGAGCCTACTACCCGAGGGCGGTGCACTGGCGAGTGAACTGGAGTCGAAGCCGACTACAGTAAATTTTGTGGACGTGCCGAAGGCATTATTGTGTATGGTAAATGAGGAGAGGAATGGGGAGCCGATGAGAAGTTGAGTGGAGGCAGGGACGGGGTAAAGGCCCATGAGGTGGAAGGCGAGGAGGGATGCCATGGCACCGGAGTCATCATTTCCTGGAAGGCTATAACATTGTGAGTTCTACTCATAAAAAATTGAGAGTGACACTCACCCTCCTATCCCCGTATTGAAGTTGTCGTAAACCACCTTGCGAACGCGCAATGCGCTAAGGTCGGGACGATTGGCGTAATGGTAGACCCATGGAATCTCGAAAGAGGGCTCATTACCCGCCTGGAAGTATCCCTTTGAGAAATAGTGGTCTCTAGAGCCTAGATTTAGGCGTATGTATTCTGGATAGAGGGATCCGCGTACACTCTGGAGAGGAAAGTCGCCGGTCCTCCCATCAGTCCAATAATTGTAGACATTGAATGTGGCGCGAAGAAACTCATCTCCCAGGACGACGCTGTACAATTCCCAGTCAATAAACCTCGCAAAGATGAGCAGACGACATCTCACATTCGTAGAACCCGACATTATTGTCTGTACCCCTTGCACACGAGTGGCCTACAGGGTCCACAGGCGAACAAGCATTCGGGGGGCTGAAGGCAAAAGTCCCATTCTGTATGGCATTTAGTCATTACCATACTCGTCGAGGCTCCGATTGACCAAGGAGATACCTGAAGTCGTCGCTGCAAAAAGCCCGAGAAGCCATCGGAGACTACAGACGCATCCCAATGATTGACGAAGTTCATCGAGCGATTAGCATACTTGGCGATGTCTGCATTCGACTTTCCAAGCACAACGCCTGCTTGACGGACGGCGAAGTCACCGAGTGAGTACTGCGCGAAAGGATGTCAGTGACTGTTGACGACGACAAGGTGTCGTGACGAACTTCGGTGGCCCGCGATGCTTCGCGTGTGGGCAGGCCAGTGGCACCAGTTGGGTCAACCCAGTTGGTGGGGATGTAGCCGAATGTCTTCCAACCTGTGTTCTGTCTCCCGACTTGAGCAGAATATCAGAAAAATACGACGAGATCAATCGAAGAGCATTTTTACCTCGAGACCAATCGTGAGGCTGTCGACCAATGAGAGCTTGCTCTATGCAACCAGCAGCGAATGTCACGCACAGTGTTCTCGGCGGTATCCACGAGCGCCTGGTACAAATCGTCCGTGGGGACTCCTAGTTCGTTCGCCTTGGAATTATACTTCACAGCAAAGTCACCAAGGATGGGCATCCCATCGCTACCTCCTTGCACAAAACCACTGCGAACGTAATATTTAGCAAACTTTGCTGGTGACTGAGAGCACCCACGCTT